AGTATTATATAGTTATTTAATATATTCTGTAGTTTATAATTATTTATATTCATATTGTAAAATTAATCAATAAATAGTTTAATAATAAAATTTCAGCGATGTCAGTTTTAGCTATGTCTTAAATCATTATCACTTCTTTATTAGTTATTTATCTATAAATTACAAGATAAATTTATGTTATGTTTGAATGTTCACTACTTTATTATACTTAGACAGCTGAGCGGATTTCAATGAAACTTCGTGCATGAATAGACCAAATTGGATATTAACAAATTTTTTACCGCAATTCTCGCAGTTCTGAACATAACCTCCCCTTAGGCGGTTTTGTCAGTAGTTGCCACGCTTGGCAGACCGATAGGCAGCCGTAGTCAGGCTTTAGAAATGTTTAAAGAGGGACGCTGCTGCCCATCCATCCTCCTTCCTTAGTCAGCTGTTACGACACCCACAGGATAGGAAGGGATGGCTTATTCTATGCCGGGACCACACGGCTAATGTACCATATAATACTATATACTAAGTTATAAAATGTACATAATAAACATTTATTATAATAATAATAATAAATTCTTCACGAACACAGCTTGACCTTCAAGCTTGTTTTATACCACGAAGATAGCAAACAAATATACAGTTCGTCTGATGGCAAACACACATACAGTAAGTAGCCTACCGACGCCTGCAGCACTAGGAGTATCAAGTCCACGTTGCCGACCCTGAAGAAACTTTAATATAGCATTTTTGAAGAACCCCATACTGCAGCCTCTAGAGAAAACCTCGGCTTTCTTGCTTGGCTTGGCGGGAGCTTGTTTCACAGCCTGAGCGCTCACGGGAGAAAATTCCTTTAAAATCGTACTGTACGTGACCATTCAGGTTCAGGCGTGTGAGGATAAATTCCCTGTCGATGACGAACGGTGCGATGATAAAAGGCGACTGTAGGCGTCATCATCTGGACAAACAATTCCCTTCCAGAACACAGTCCGTTCCGAACCGATACGACAACATAACCTTCAAGAAAAGAGTATATTCCTTTTAAAAGGCTGGACTGTGTTTGATCATGGGCGGCGGTAGTCACTTACCATCAGGTGAGCCGCATGCTCGTTTGCCCCCTGTGTTGTAAAAAAAAAAAAAAAAAAAGAGGATAAATTCCCTGTCGATGACGAACGGTGCGATGATAAAAGGCGACTGTAGGCATCATTTCAAACAATTCCCCAGAACACAGTCCGATAACGGACTGTGTTCTGGGGAATTAACACGTATAAACGTGGGGTGGAACACACAAAGGCAGGCAAAGTCATGTCTTAGACTTAAGAGCTCGATGCCGCCTGTGTACTTGGAACTGTTTAAAAATAGGGCTACCGCCAACTAAATTGCCAACATCGGATAAACACGGCAAAAATCCCGGACATTTAGGCGAAATATAGTTTTCTTCCCCGGACACTATTTTGCTGAGCCTTCTTGAATGCGGGTTATTGTGGATGAATTTGTTACTATGATTTAATTCAATTTATCGACTACCTATAAAAAAATTTAGATTTCCCCTGACAACAAATGTTCGGGTTAAACTTGGACACTTTTCAAAAACCCCTGCCGGACGGCCTCCGGACGGTCTTCAAACTAGAACTAGTCTGGGGAGTTCCGGACGGATGGCAGCGCTATCTAAAAGCTACAAGAAACCAAGCGACGAACGTATGAAATATAATCCAAAACATACTAATGGTGGCGGAATTAAACAAAATAATTCTAATCAAATAAACAGTAATGTGGCAATTCAATATAATAGATAAAAAATATTATTTTCTTTTAAAATTAACACCGCTGGAAAACCTTTCTTTTTTTCTTTCTTTACTTCTGGATTAAATAAATAATTAACTCCATTGTTAACCGTTTAAAGATACTGCTACAGTTCTTATAACATAATAGCCATTGTTGTACACGTATGTAAGGCATATAGCTATTTAAAATACATCTCACACAATTATGTAGATTTTATATTATTCGCATCATCACATAGTATACAGGTGGTCAGTAACAATACTCTATTGCTTATAATATGGTAAATACATTGGTTAGCGTTATGCAAGAGCTAGCCAAGTATATATTGCTTTTTTTTACGCAACTTAGAATGGCAAACAAGCTGACAGGCCATCTGATGGAAAGTAGTAACCGTCGCCTAAAGACATGAGCAATACAATGGATACAATCCTTATCGTTACCTTAATTCGAGAATGAGTAAAGGAAATTAATAGAAAAAAAAAAAACAATAAACAAACTTACTTGTACATTTAAAATATTGGTAAATATAATTAATTAGTCTTAGATTATATAGATGCAGTGTCTCCATATAAATGCTTCTAGAAAAGTGGGTCAACTTTTTCATACAATTTCGCGTGATAAATAATTATGAGTCCTTTATGACTTCTATATTTATTTTGTCTTATATATTTTGCACTTTTTTTTATGCGTAAACACACATTTTATTTATTAAATAATTAAATATATAATATATGTGTCGAAGTATATTGTGTGCGTAAACATATAGAAAAATAAAAAAAACTAATAAAAAAACGAGTCAGCTAATTTGGCAATTAGCTGACAAAAAGTTGGCTCGTTTTTCAGGCTTGATGCTCTATCTATATAGTCTATGTAATTAGTACAGAGTTATTGTAATATGTTTATTATATTAAATCGTTAATTTTCCTATAAATAAATAAATTAATAAATACTTTATTTATGTTCAGAATAAAAACAGTCATGCTAATTTAAACAAAGTAACAGTAACGAATCTTTAATATAATATAGTAATTAATACGGCATTATTTGCCAATTCTGGATCAATATTGATAATTCTTTTAGATTTCTATAAAATTTACAATTTAGTATAAATTTCTTTATGCTTGAGGTCACTATTATTTTATATCTTAAATTGTTTTAAAAGACTTCAAAAAGAACATTTTTGACTTATATCGCGTAACATTCACGTGGAAGAAATAAATATTTTTCGACCACCAATTTTGATGATTCTTTTTGCATTTGATAGATCTTGTGTTGGTCCTATATAAATTTCGTTACGATTGAAGTCGCCGCTTTGCGGATCACAATCTAATAAATTTATTGAACAACCCAAAAAAAGTTTTTAATACGCCTAAGTTAGTGTATATGTCTGCATGTATATATATTACGCGATATATTCAGAACCATTTTTTATAGTTCATTATACTTATCATTTATTTATTTAATACCATATAAAGTTTTTTTACTAACAAAATTGTATCTAATTGTGTGCACATAGCAGATATTTAAAATATATGAGACATCTTAATAAGATAGACGCCAAAACTATATAATTTTAAATTTTATTTGCCGGCCTATCTATCTGCCTTTTTTTTTATACAACTTAGAATGGCAAACAAGCTGACGGCCCACCTGACGAAAAATGACATAACAGAGTATACTGTTTCGCCCATGATAAGCCCCATGCGTTGCCATTCCTGAGGACTCAGGTGTTATTCCTCTGTACCCAGTAAATTCACGCCATATCCCACCCTTCAAACCGAAACATAGCCATGCAAACACAACTGCTTCACGGTTGAAACACAAATGGGACAGAGGTACCCAAGCAATCGACTTTTGTACAAAGTCTCCCTCTATGTGTTTGTTTCATCATCACACAAAACTGCTACACTAAACTGAATACGATTATCATATCTTTATTCCTGAAAGTGTAACTTAAAATCCAGTGTATTTTTTATTCTGACATACCATCTGGAAATATGGCCTATTCCATTGTTTCCCCTACTTCCGAAATCCACGCGTACAAAGTAGCGGGCACAAGCTAGTATGGTACAAAATCTTACAGTAATTTCAAACATGCAACGCACAAACGATAAAGTCATTTTACAATATAATTAAATAATTGTACCAATTTACCAACTAGCTGTAATTGCCACACGATTATAACTAACTTACTATTTTAAATATAATACTATTATTTATTCAAAACATATAATTCTTTTTTATTTTTTTATTTTTTATTTATTTAGGCCAACAAACAGTAAACACGATAACGATATATATACATATGTATCTAAATATCAATAATTTTAGTGTCACCAACGACGTTGGCCACCTATTACTATAAAAAAAAAATATGCAAAATGGTTGTGTGCAACTACTTGTACAAAACTAAACATATACACATACATGATTGACAGAATTATAAAGAGGTGCGTACCAGTGATACACTCAAAATCAAAGAACTTCCAAATTGATGTTATATATTTTAAAATTAAAAATTTATTTACCAGCAATAAATAAGTAAATACAACATCAACAACAGAAAATCATTCCTCCACCTCAAGTAGACCAGCTATAAGTCTCCCGAATGCACCAACACCGTTCCGAAATAATATCAACGGAGTTGAAATTTGAGTTATAAGCGTTAACAATGCGAATTCGAAGCATAAAATAACATATTTATTTTTCTGTCCAGGCATAGAACTGGCCACTTCTTCCTTTCTGAACCTTCCCTTAAATAATATAAAAAAAAACCTTCCTTTAAAAGCCTGATTTTTTAAATCAAATTAAAAAATATATAAGTGTACCCTTTATTGTGTTTACTAATGGGGAAAATTTGTAAAAAAAATCAAAACGATATTTTTATATATTTATTTTGAAGAAAAAAAAACATTTGATAACATGTAAACAGCCAAATATTAAAATAAAATCGATTGTAGGTGCCATTTTATACCATGAAGAAACAAGACTCTATGCGACGAACACCTAAAACCACAAACCATAATATCCAAACCTGAAATAAAAATTAGCTATGAATTTTCTAAACTTGCATTTTGTATGTGTCCGTCAACATTAATCACCCGGGCAGGTACTGAAGTGTGACGTCATTATTTAGTAATTATTTTAATAGCTACATGGTTGAATTTCGCATAACACCGTACTGCATGTGCGCCGATACTTTATACCGCCGGTATTGACGGCCGTGCCCTTAAACTTGGTACACTAGTATCGCGAATGTGTGCCGCGTTCGACGCATGTAAACTACATTGTTATGATAACGCACTGTCTGCTCGCGTTCCAAATTCAAAAATAGTTCGTGAAAATTTCGAATATAGAATAGAATTCTTTTGAATTTTAACAATTCTTTTTAAGTCTTTTTAAATTATACATTCAAATAAAGAACTATTAAATTTATTATTAAAATAAAATATTATTTTTATTTTAATTATTAAAATAGATTGTTCGATATCGCATGAGAACTATTTTATTTGCAATATACATAATTATTTTTCATATTTTTTATTATCATATATGATAATTTAATTATGTAAATAATAAAATAAATTCGTTAATTAGGCAATAAAAAGTACGTATAATAATAGAAAGAAGAAATATTATCGGTACACGAATTTTTGTGCTTACCTGTTTTCCTGCAGAAACAAACTCGAGGTAAGTTTTTATAATGCATTAAATATTATAATTTTAACATAATTAACATAGTAAATAAAATGTTAAAGTATTTCTAATATCCTATATCAATAACACCAATAACTTAAGTACTTTCTTTGCCAGAGGGAGACACTGTATAAAGTCCTCTGCATGCGTAAATACATTCTCATCTATAATTCTAACCCTAAGCAGCTTGATTATATCATTTTGCATGATACGCTTAAATTCAAAGGGTGTGTTTTAAATACGCTATTTAAATATGGAATGGGTAGTATCTGATATTGAGTGCCTCTCGACACTGATTTCGATATCGCCCGTACCAGTCTGATATCTATATATTCATTACGAGTGGGTGCTTCTTTTCGATATTTTTTTATGCAACTTAGAACGGCAAACAAGCTGACGGCCCACCTGATGGAAAGTGGTAACCGTCGCCTATAGACATGAGCAGTACCATGTGGACATAACAGAGTATACTGTTCGCTCATGATACGTCCCAAGCGTTGTCATCCCTGAGGACTCAGAAATGGGTATTGGATGACCGACAGTTAACATATCTGTTATTGGGCCAATATATGTAAAGATATGGTGACTACGATATATAGATATTGCTATATATTTTCCACCCTTAGTTTTAAGTGGATTGTAAATATTATATATATTTTATTTTATTTTTAATTTATATATATATATATATATATATATATATATATATATATATATATATATATATATATATATATATATATATATATATATACAGTAATAATAATAATTATAAATATTATCATTATCGGAAAAGAGAGTCCAATTTACATTGCATTACATTACAATTATCATTACTATAGTTTAATTATTTAATAAAAAAGTAAAAAAGTAATTCAATTGAGTTTCTTGCCAGTTCTTCTCAATTGGATCTATATACCGAACTGGACGGTAGGGAAAATATAAAATTATAATGTAAAAAATTATCTAAAATTACATGAATAAATGATTTTTGAATTTTGAATTTTGAATTTATAATAAATAATTACTACAGCAAAATAAACTTACTGAAAACAAGCATAAAAATATCCAATACATTCTGCAAGCTATCATAGTGTAAATAATAATTTAAACCGTACTACATATTATAACTACATTAGCATAAATACTTCAATAAACTGACTAAATATATTATACAGTGTTTCAACCGTAAAGCAATCGTGTTTGCATGGCTGTGTTTAAGTGTGAAGGGTGGGATATGGCAGTGAATTTACAAGGTCCAGAAGAATAACACCTGAGTCCTCAGGAATGGCAACGCATGGGGAGTATCATGGGCGAAACAGTATACTCTGTTATGTCCATAGTACTGCTCATGTCTATAGGCGACGGTTACCACTTTCCATCAAGTGGGCCGTCAGCTTGTTTGCCATTCTAAGTTGTATAAAAAAAAGGAGTAGGGAAAGGGGCGGAGGGGCGATAAACTAACGCAACTAAAAGCCCCATTGCTAACAATATACCCAACCAGGTCGACTTCCACATGGTCCCCTTGGAAACCGTCGTGCTGAATTCCAAGTGTATTCATTACGATGGGCTAAATGACCTGCTTTTCATCCTCACCTATCATCCCTTACTAGTGGCCGCCAGTGTATACCATTAGCGCAGGCAGGGTTACCATTTCATTATCACCTGTCAATAATAATTACTAGCGGCAGTGTTACTATCAATTTGAACACATAAATTCACGCAGTACCACCTACAAATCATGAAATTGTTAATCCATGGTGAATTCCCCACGATGGTCACTTATTGAATAGATACGCTTTTTCATTCAATTATGGCTTCTGCCCTACCAAAAAGTTCATTTGCCCTACCCAAAACTTGCGTCTAGCTACGGCCCAGCCTATGGTCTACTCACTGGTACCCCGCCAGCATGTACCGATAGCACACGGGAGGTTACCATCCCATTTTCATCATGGGCTTACAAAGCACAGGTTACCCTAATTTGTAAGCTAGGGCAAAAACATGTAACAGTGCAATTAAAATATTATTATTATTATTACTCATTTCCTTAGGATATTTATTTAAACTTTATTGACCAATAAAATGTGGTACAAAAACGGACTTAATGCTATAGGCATTCTCTACCAGTCAACCTTTAGGATGACACAAGGATGCAGAGAATCCCGGCGGTGGGTTAAAAAATAAAATTATTTATATATTAATATTAGATGGTAATTACATACAAACATTCATAAAACAAACATACATATTAATATAGTATTTATATATTTATACATGCGTATGAAGAACCACTGCCTACTTGATTACATGTTATGATTAAGAAAATTCAATAGATGAGACCGAATAATCTTCTTGAAGGCAAATTTATTAGATAAGCCACGTATGCATTTAATGTATGTCTATTAAATACATATTATTTTTAGTGTCCGACCGAAACAGGTTTTACAGCCGAAACCGAAACCGAACTTTCGGCCTTGGTCTCAGTTTCCGCCGAAACCAAAACCGAAACTTACTGAAACTAATTTCAAATTTCTCTTCTATACTGAAATCTAGTGTATTTTTTAGACAATTATTTACACAAACACACAGATAGTTAAAGGGTAATAATAAACACTAATTAAAGTATGTAACAAATATATCATATATATTTATATGTAAAAACATGTTAAAATTATGACGTACTCTTGGAAGTAAACTTAAGAAAAAAACAACTTTCATTTAGACACACACACAATACATACACACACACAAAGTTTCGGCGCGGCCGAAAGTTTCGGCTAATTTTTGGCTGAAACCGAAACTAAGACGAAAGTAGAAATTCTGGCCGAAACTAGCCGAAACCGAAAGTTCGGTTGGACACTAATTATTTTATGTAGTTTCCCTTTTATTTGAAAGTACCTCCACCAACCATCTCTGTTGGCCCCATGGTAGGTGGAAAACGCCTTTAGGTGTTGACTTTTAATAAATGATAATGGAATAATAACCCCGTCTGTGCTATCGGTATACACTGGCGGGGCACCAGTGAGGGATGGTAGGTGAGAATGAAAAGACAGGTCAGTTAGCCCATCGTGATGAATACACCTGGAATTCAACACGTTGGTTTCCAGGGGGAACCACGTGGAGATCGACCTGACAAGATATATTGCTAGCAATGGGACTGGTAGTCTACATTACTGACAATCCCTTCAATTTATCCCTTTATCATGTTTGTATTGTCTAATGACAAAAAGCTGTAAACGTTGTTTATAAGGACATTCTGTAGTAGGTAGGTATATTTAGTATCAGCATTGCACCCGTGTGAAGCCGGGGCGGATCGCTAGTTATTAAATAAACAAATATTAACTCTACGCAAAATACATTTGCCAGCTATACATTTACAAAACCAGCGCTAGTTACAGGTTACTCAATAGTTATTATATCTCATAATGCTTATCGTTGTTTTAATTTATGTATATGTATGTATGTATATATATATGTATATATTTCATATGTATTAGTTTATCCATATATATTAAAAGTAATGTTTATGTATTATATGTGCATTTCTTATGTGTATATTATATTTTAATTGTCACATATTTTTCACCACATGTGCCCTTCATACGCTTTCTGTTTTTATCCAATGGTTAGCTGGTAGAGAATGCCATATAGCATTAAGCTCGCCATTTGTACAAAATTTTACTGTGCAATAAAGAATAAATAAAATAAATAAATTTATTCAACATCTTGATAAATAAACATTCACAATATCAGATCGCAGATCGCAAGTTTGTTTTAGTAAATAAACAAAAATAAAAGAAAACCAGCGAAACAAAAAAGTATTAGAATACTCATTTAGATTTTTTTAGTGGATATGAGTGAGTCGGTAACTCTACGATGGGTTTCTCCAAGTTAAAAAAAAAATAAAGTAAAAATTATTCGTGTATGACATCACCGTGAGAGGATGAGATCACTCTTTTTTCTGCTTCAAAGCATCGTTTAGAAAAAGTTTTTTTTTTTATACAACTTATAATGGCAAACAAGCTGACGGCCCACCTGATGGTAAATGGTAACCGTCGCCTATAGACATGAGCAGTAGCATGGACATAACAGAGTATACTGTTTCGCCCATGATACCCCCCATGCGTTGCCATTGCTGAGGACTCAGGTGTTATTCCTCTGTACCCTGTAAATTCACGCAAGTTAATTCAGTTAATAGGTCCTTTATGGGAATGGGCATTAAATGTTATAATAAGATACCAAAAGATATTTTGGATTTACCTTTAAAATAAGTTTAAAACTGTTATTAAAGAACACTTATTGAACGAAGGCATTAAATTATTATATAAATATTATATAATAGTTTAATAATAATGTACATATATTAAATAAAAAATATTACCCACCAAATGATTACTTGAATGACAAATGTGTATGATATCAGGTGATCATGCACAGGCTTTTAACGACCATGTAATTTTAGACACAGTACATTTAAATAAATACACATAATGTTAACAGAGATTTAAAAGAGTCACTGTTGAGTTTCCTGCGGGCTCTTCTCAACAGATAACAATCTTCCGAAACCTGCAGTAGATTTAAAGAAAAATGTCAATTTAAAAGTACTTGTAAATAAGTCTATTTGAATAAAGACGATTTGAATTTAAATTTTATTTTCACAATTTAATTAAGATATGGTTGCCGACGTTTAAATTGTCAAAATTAACAAATTTTTGTTTATTTTTTTTTTTATTCAAACCGAAAATAACAGTGAAATTGAGTTTTTTTTTTCGTATACCATTCACAATGGAAAGTATATGAGTTTCAGATATTCATTTTAGTTATTGTTGTAATACTCTGATATAAGCTGTACATTTTGCGCCCAAATATCACCTTTAATCGTAACATAAACGTGAGTAACACTGCGCTACGCCGTGCAATTGCGCCAATTCATTTCACTGCGCTGGATATGTCAAAACATTTCTTCAAAGTGATTTGCTCCACTGAGAACTGTGAAATAGACTGGGAGAAATTTGGGTATTTCTTTGGACTTGTTAGCCAAAAGTCCCCATGAGAGTAATCCTCACGAATAACAGTGTATAATAGGTATCTTGGGCGACACAGTATACTCTGTGACGTCCGTAGTGCTGTGCATATCTATAGGAGACGATTACCATTTTCCACCAGGTCAGCAGTCAGCATGTTTGTCATTGTAACGTCTATAATAACAAAATGTAACTTTCATAATTTACAGAAGAATGTTGACCACAATAGCGTTCTTGGCAATGCTGGTGACCAGCGCTCGAGCTGCCTACACTCCTCATCCAGAAATCGGATATCCCCTTGGATACCTACCTGAATGTAAGTATTTGCAAATATTGCTACCTATTTTTTTAAGCAACTTAGAATGGCAAACAAGCTGACGGCCCACCTGATGGAAAGTGGTAACCGTCGCCTATAGACATGAGCAGTACCATCGACATAACAGAGTATACCGTTTCGCCCACGACACCTCCATGCGTTGCCAATCCTGAGGACTCAGATATTACTCCTCTGTACTCTGTAAATTCACTGCCATATCTCACCCTTCAAACCGAAACGCAGCCAAGCAAACGCAACTGCTTCATTGTAAAAACACGAGTGGGACAGAGGTACCCAAGCAAACGACTTTTGTACAAAGTCTCCCTCTGGTATTTATTCTATTTGTGCAATATAAAATGTCTTTTAGCGTTAACTTTACAGCATTTATTTACACTTTCATTCCTAACGCCATCTAGTGACTCGTGGAGTAAATTATATAATTGATAATAAAAGGGTTTAAAAAATAGCAACTTAGGTAACCTAACCCTTTTAAAAAGTGTTTTTTTTTTAACTTTATATAACCTATATGTTAGTTTATATTTAACTTGATATATTGTAAACATTTTATCGCAAATAACCGAGGCATTTTTATCTGAAGTAAATTTAAACATGCACACAACGAAAGATATCAAATATCATTTTCGCTTCAATCATCATCATCATCATTTTAGTCTCTCCCTAGGGGGGGGGGGGAGTTGCCAGTAGTTGCCACGCTTGGCAAGCGAATTGGCAACTGCAGTCAGGCTTTAGAGATGTTTTAAGAGGGACGCTGCTGCCCATCCCTCGACCTCCCTTAGTCGCCTCTTACGACACCCACGGGTAAAAGAGGGGTGATCTATTTTATAATACATATTCAATATACATTTTCAAAATATTGAATACGAGAAATCCGATCCGGCTTCGCACGGATATATCGAATTTTCGAAAATAATACCTTTGTTTATAATAGGTAAAATATTACCTTGTTACTCGCTAATAATATAGATTTATGTAAATGAAAGAATTTTTGAAAAATCAGTTTATGCAGTTTTTGAGTTTATACATCACAAACAAACAGTCGAATCTTTCCTCTTCTAATTTTATCTATTATAATCATTTTTACTATTAGCTGAACGATATGAATGATAAACGTGCAAGGTGTTAGTCGATTATGTACAGGCTTTTTAATGACTATGTGATCATTTTAAAAATATAAATATATCTTATATATATATATATATATATATATATATATATATATATATATATATATATATATATATATATATATATGTTATGTATCTGCCGATTAAGGATTTTTATTTTTTACTTGAGAGCAAGTTGTCATCTTCTTAATTTGTTCATTTGTCTGGTTAGCATACTTATTTTACAACTTTGTGTTTTACGTACACATGTGAGCAGTATTTATATATTTTTATGTAATTATAAAGGTGCATGTATGTATGTATATATGTAGATCGATTTTAGCAATAAGGTCGCCCATTGTTTTCTCATTGTGATTATTTCTTGTAATTGTTTGTATCTATTATAAATTTACTATTGTAATCTTTTGGAGGGAACAATAAAGAGTATCTATCTATCTAATTATATGGGGGAGGGATTGTTAGTAATGGAGACTGAGAATCCCATTGCTAGCAATATACCCAACCAGGTCGACCTCGCGGTTCCCCCTGGAAACTATCATGGTTAATTCCTGATGATTCATCATGATGGGCTAACTGGCCTGTTTTCATTCTCATCTATCACCCTTCACTGGTGCTCCGCCAGCGTGTCCCGTTAGCGCAGGCGGGGTTACCATACCATTTACACCTATCAAAAAAAAAAATATATATATAATTTGAATTTAGAATTTTTTACGCATGCCAACAGAATTTATAAATCATTACTAAAACAGGAAGATGTCAATCAAATAACACTTTGATATCAACGCCATTACGATTTGACATCAGCGACAACGCCATTTGACATCAGCGCCATTTAAAATAATGGGCATGATTATAATTATTTATTGGAATTTTACATCGTATTTAATAATAATAATTGTGACATACATTAAAAAATAATTGCCATGTCATTTTGGCATATCAGGAAACTGTAAAATTTTAATGTTTTTTTTTTTATTATATGTGAAACTGGTAACATCGGATGTTATATATCTAATCACATCGTTATATATTTAATATCTGATGTTAACTGACAAATGATGTGATGATGTCTGATGGTTGAAGTCATCCGTTACAGCATGATGAATGATAAAATGCTTATCATGTGCAGCGTTAAGAGAATCTCCCACTATGCTTAATTAATGATGAGCACATATAATATGGGCGATGGGGGGGAAAGGGATTGTTAGTAATGGAGACTGAGAATCCTATTGATAGCAATATACCCAACCAGGTCGACCTCATCGCGGTTCCCCCTGGAAACTATCACGGTTTATTCCTGATGAATTCATCATGATCTATCACTCTTCACTGGTGTTCCGCCAGCGTGTCCCGTTAGCGCAGGCGAGGCTACCATACCATTTTCACCCATCAAAAAAAAATATGGACTATCTAAATCAAATTTTCTTTTCCTGTTCCTTCTATGGTCATTGCGCACTGATCAAGTCTCTCATTTCATTAAAAATCCCTTTTCCTACATCCTTTTTATGCCCGTTAACTCATTCTAGAAAAAATGAAGAAAGAAATATTTATTTAGTGCTTAAATTCACACACAATAATGAAAAAAACATTTATCAACCCCATTGCTATCGATAAACCCTCATTAGGTCGACCTCCTCGCGGTTCCCCCTGAAAACTGTCGTGTTTGATTTATTGTTAAATTTGTTACGATAGGCTAATTGGCCTCCTTTCATCCTCACCTATCATCTCGCACTGGTGCTCGCCAGTGTATACCGATAGCGCAGATGGGGTTACCATTCCATTGTCATCTATTAAAAAAAAAATTGCAGCTACTATACTTAATCCATGCATACTCTTCTTAATCTACAAAAAGCATACACAAAGGAGGATAATTTTAAGTCATTTGTCCTAAACCAGTCAAGTTATTAAAAGTTTGTAGTAATTTACAAACTTTATTGTTACTTTAACATTGTCCTTAATCTACAGTTTTTTTTTTTTATACGACTTTAAATGACAAACAAGCTGACGGCCCACCTGATGGAAAGTGGTAACCGTCGCCTATAGACATGAACAGTACCACGGACATAACAGAGTATACTGTTTTGTCCACGATTCCCCGCCATGCGTTGCCATTCCTGAGGACTCAGGTGTCATACCTCTGTACCCTGTAAATTCACGCCATATCCCACCCTTCAAACAGAAACACAGCCATGCAAACACAACTGCTTCACGGTACAAACACGAATGGGACAGAAGTACCTAGGTAATCGACTTTCGTACAAAAACTCCCTAATCTCTAAAACTGTAAAGAAATTTATACTTAACGCATAAAACTTTTAGATTCAATATTTAATAACAGTGTAAGAAAATATGGGAAGAGATACTTAGACTATGACGTAACTGTAAATATGTACCAGTTGTCATTATATATATATATATATATATATATATATATATATATATATATATATATATATATATATATATATATATATATATATATATATATATATATATATAGTATATATTAAATAACTATATATATATATATATATTAAATACCAGAGGGAGTCTTTGTACTAAAGTCGGTTTGGCTCTCTGTTCCATTCGTGTTTCTACCGTGAAGCAGTTGTGTTTGCATGGCTGTGTCAGTGGGATATTGAATTTTACAGAGGCTATGCTAAGGAATGGCAAAAAAAAACTCTGTTATGTTTGTGTCATGTCTAGGCGACGGTGCACTTTCCATCAGCGACGTTACCACTTTCCATAGCTATTCTAAGTTGTTTAAAAAAAAACTTGTTTGTGTTGCCGTAGAAAAGGAAAAGTTATTTTATGTCTATGGTTCTTGAGTAAACATAGTGAGTTCTAATATTAAAAATTAGACTCCCTTTATTACGAACGACGATGTCTCGCGTGGCTTACCGTATGATAGCTTTACGTGCCTTCTGAAATACGAAGAAAATGACAAATATTTTTAACCGTTTTAAAAAAGAAGCAGGTACTCAATTCGGTGGTATTTTTTTTTTATGTTCCTCTCATAGATAATAAATATTGTGTGTAAACATTTATTATAAACATTAAACAATTAAATTAAAATGCTTACGTAAGTTATACATATAACATTATATATTTATTAATTAATCCTCTTTAAATAAAATCCTTATAGATAATATTTTAATATGTATTAAGTATATTTTATAACAAATAATATCGTAAAAAAATGAAAAAAATTAATTAATTATTTATTCATTTATTAATTAATTATTAATTTTTTAATAAAACTATGTACGTAAATAGATAAAGAATGAAAATTTATTTTATTGTATTTTAATAAACAGTTTATTATTTGTATATGATTTAGTTTGTCTCTAAAATTCTATTTGGTCGTAAAAAGAAACTTAATCCAAATAAAAATAAAAAAAAAATAAAAACTAATAATAATCTATTACAAAAATAGAAACTAATTAATTATATATTATTCGTATAGTCATTGATATGTATAATTATATATTTATAAGATTTATATTTTTTTATACAACTTACAATAGTAAACATGCTGACGGCCCACCTGATGGAAAGTGGTAACCGTCGCCTATAGACATGAGCAGTACCATGCACATAACAGAGTATACTGTTTCGCCCATGATACCCCCCATGCGTTGCCATTCCTGAAGACTCAGGTGTTATTCCTCTGTACCCTGTAAATTCACGCCATATCCTACCCTTCGAACCGAAACACAGCCATGCAAACACAACTGCTTCACGGTTGAAACACGAATGGGACAGAGGTACCTAAGCAATCGACTTTTGTACAAAGTCTCCCTCTGTATTAATTTGCACTAAACTCGTTCCTTGGTAGTTCTCTAGGTATGTTTCCAAGTACCGGTCAGTTACTTTATGTCGATCTGCGTCATACAAAACATAATATTATTTTCTATTACGCTTCTACATGAATTATACAGATGTTATCAGGTTTTTTTTTACATACACAATTGAACCTTGACACCTAAAAAAAAACAGCGAGTACCTTAAATGAAACGATCTCGTGGAAATTCACTAGATATATAATAAAATATGTATTAACACAAATTCTATTCTCGTACGCATCGATACCTGTTTAGAATACGCAATTAGAATACGCAACACATAATAAAAAATAAAAAAAATTACGTAGACCTAATAAAAATTTTGAACGAGACAATATGATGAATTTACATAGATCTCTGTTGAATATAGCCTCACACATACCTAAAGAGTGTTTTTCCAGTAGTTGCCATGCTTGGCAAGCGGGTTGGCAACCGCAGTTTGGCTTTTGACGTTTTAAGAGGGACGCTGCTGCCTATCCCTCGCCCTCCTTACTCGCCTCTTACGACACGCACAGGAAAGGAAGGGATGGCCTATTCTACGCCGAGTCCATCATAGCGAACTTACATTAATATTATTCTATTGTCTATAATTTAAATTTGCTTCGCTAAAACAATTACAACAATTTATTGGGTACAGAGGAATAACACCTGAGTCCTCAAGAATGGCAACGCATGGGGGGTATCATGGGCGAAACAGTATACTCTGTTATGTCCATGGTACTGCTCATGTCTATAGGTGACGATTATTACTTTCCATCAGGTGGACCGTCAGCTTGTTTGCCATTCTAAGTCGTATAAAATAAAAATTAAAAAAATAAAGAAACCAATTTTTCAAATGAAGAAACAATCAGATAGAGAAAAGATAATCTTTCACTTGTCGTTTGAAAGCATCAATGGATTTAGTACTTCTAATGACAACAGGCAATGAATTCCATAACCTAATGCTAGAAACAGTGAAGGAGCTATGATAAAATTTAGTGGAATGAGAATGTGTCGTAAAGGTAAGGTTTTCGGAGGAGCGTAATGTTAAAGTATGGGTAGCGGAGATGAATTGGAATCCGCATAATCCACTCTGTTCCCCTTCTAAATACCCCTATGTTAATATATAATCCTTTTAATTTTTTAAGTCACAGGTGGTGAGTAATTCTACATCATTGATAAAGGTATTCAATATAATCATCTAGGTGATAAACTCCATACTTGACACGGTCACGGCTGACTGGCCGGTGCATGTCATTGCTAACTGCATTGATAGACTGTATGCAATTATCAGCTGTTAAGTTGCAATTAGTAAACGTAATGTTACCTATACTAATATAATATGGAGGAATTATATAAGATTTGATATATATATATATATATATATATATATATATATATATATATATATATATATATATATATATATATATATATATATATATATATATATATATATATCAAATCTATATCTGATAGTTTTGAAACTTCAAAACTATTCAATCGATATCCTTACTTACTTTACTTATATAAATCTTCATTAACAGCGAGTAATTTAGGCTATATATTTATTATTACAAAAAAAATATTTATGAAAATTGTAATGCAATAATATAACCCGAAATATCAAAAATTTGCCTATTAAAGCTAATATAAAATACTACGAGTACTTTGTCTTTTCTCTCTCTCTCTCTTTATATATATATATATATATATATATATATATATATATATATATATATATATATATATATATATATATATATATAGGTGTATCTTTCGTCCTCTTTTTGCTAATTATATTTGCATAAGAAGAAAGGAGACAACCATATGATTTATAGATTTTATTTTATCATTCCTTTTATGTAATTCCTTGTTCTTAGATGGACGTTTGCAACACTAGAAGTATCATATGTATGCTGCCGCCCTAAAAAAAACTTTAACCTTTTTCAAGAACCTCTTACTGTAATCTCTAGAGAAAACGTCGGCAGAGAGCTCATTCCACAGCTTGATATTATACTTTTAATATTATTAAAAAAAATATAATAAGCTTGTAATAAAATTGTAACAAAACCGTTATTGTACGTAGAATTTTCTATTATCATAAAGTCCTGCGAGACGTGATTCGAGATATTCTATCTAACGACGAAATGAAATTTCATTTAAGTCGTTTACTTCCTCAAAATAACATATAAATTTCAATGAAAAATAAAACACTTTTCATTCGAATTATTTAATAATATATTACCTTATTACTTTCATGTTGACTTTGTTAAGGCGAAATCAAAAGCAGTTGTGGGAAAATTAATGCGTTTCCCGGAATGAAAGGTATTTATTCATATCAAAGTCATTATAATCGGTAGTTTGGTAACCGTCATACACGGTCAGGCGACTAACTATAAACAAGTGGTTATTTGATTAAAGTTATTTTGTTTAATTCCGCTACTATTAGTATGTGTGTGACTGCCAACACTCGAAGATTGATCGCCACCATTACTACCAGAAGTTCCACAACGTTCCATTTTAGGCATAAATCTTTCTCTCTCATCAGTCGTACACTCTTGACAGAGTGGTCGTGGTTTTTATATTGATAGTGGATCGTCGATGAGGCCCTCCTTCGCGATTGAAGTCCTCGCAATGTTTCTCCATCTACTTCTGCTCACAGCCGAGCGAGAGCATTCCACAATAGACTGCTGTGTGGCCGTTTTAATGAGGTCAGTCCATCGCTTTGTTAATCTACCCCGAGAACGTTTGCCTTGTACCGACCCTTGGACAATAAAACGTTCCATACAATCTTCATTCCGGATGATACGGCCGAAGTACTTGAGAATTCGTATTTGAACAGTCGACGATAATCTCTCTCTGATTTTCAGTTCGTTCAGAATGGAAACGTTAGTTCGAAAGGCAGTCCAAGGTATTTGCAGCAGTCGTCGCCGGCACCACATCTCTAGAGCATAAATTTTTCGGCCGTAGCCGCATATAGCATTAGCCGTAAATACCCGATCACTATTTAATGGTGTCTAGCCTAATGATGAAGCCTTGAAGCTATATTTATTGTTATTAAATAACCCGTTAACTGTCCACTACTGACCAGAAATCTTCCCTCATTTAGGGAATTTATCCAATAGTTACCTTAGCAGGCTCAGGCTTTACCGGGTGGAGTCTTTGTACAAAAGTCATTTGCTTGGGTACCTCTGTCCCATTCGTGTTCCTATCGTGAAACAGTTATGTTTGCAGAGCTGTTTCGGTTTGAAGGGTGGGATATGACAGTGAATTTACTGGGTACAGAGGAATAACATCTGAGTCCTCAGGAATGGCAACGCATGGGGAGTATCGTGGGCGAAACAGTATACTCTGTTATGTCCATGGCACTGCTCATGTCTATAGACGACGGTTACTACTTTCCATCAGATGGGCCGTTAGCTTGTTTGCCGTTCTAAGTTGCATAAAAAAATGTAGTTTATGCTTGACTGCCAATTCACTTGGTGTAGGTTAAAGCATTGCAGTGCTTGATAGAAGACAGAATTTGAAAAAAAGCCAGTGTAATGGACAGGTTTCTAAAAAAATCAAAGATAACGGTTACTGACGTAATTATATTATATTTCTTAAATTATAATTCCTCAGGTCCGGGATCCTTCAAGAATGCCAGTATCAGTCCCAAAATGTTGCAGTACCTTCAAGTAGTGTTACACCAGTGGAGCAACAACGGCGCCATCAGACATCGGATGCCCGTCAGCAATGCTGCTAAGATGGTCAAAATTTATAATTTAGGTAGATAGATAACTTTTCCTTTCTTATTTCTTTATGAATGAATGAATAAACGAATGAAGTAAATTCTAAAGGAAAGAAGTTAAGTTTAAAAAATCAAAACAAGTTCGTCACTAACTCGTCACGGGAGAAATAAATCGGTTAGAATAAAACTTAATTTTTTTTTTAAATAATATTAAAAAATAAATAGTGTAATATTTCACTCGTAAACGTCTTATAAATATAATACATTTATAACTACATGATGTCTGTACATTGAATAATATGAGTGGTGTACAATTTTTTCATACTAATAAAATATCCATATAAAATTATATTTTTATATATACATATAAAAATATAATGATTATATATATATATATATATATATATATATATATATATATATATATATATATATATATATATATATATATATATATATATATATATATATATATATATATATATATATATATATATATATATATATATATATATATATATATATATATGCAAACAAGTTGAGGGCCCACCTGATGGAAAGTGGTAACCGTCGCCTATAGACATGAGCAGTACCATGGACATAACAGAGTATACTGTTTCGCCCATGATACCCACCATGCGTTGCCATTCCTGAGGACTCAGGTGTTATTTCTCTGTATACATCTTCAGGAAAATGTTAAAGCGCTGCTCGGAGCCTAATTATAACTAGAGGTGGATAATATCCGAAATCTATTTATTGAGTCTTCTGGACAATGATGACCACTCATTGCAATATCCCCCATACCAGTCGGATATCTATATTCTTTCCGGGCGGGTTCTTTTTTGGATATTATATATATTGGAGAGAGGGAGAGGAAGACTTTGTACAAAAGTCGTTTGCTTTGGTACCTCTGTCCCATTCGTGTTTCAACCGTGAATCAGTTGTGTTTGCATGGCTGTGTTTCGGTTTGTAGGGTGGGATATGGCGTGAATTTACAGGGTACAGAGGAATAACATCTGAGTCCTCAGGAATGGCAACGCATGGGGCGTATCATGGGCGTAACAGTATACTCTGTTATGTCCATGGTACTGCTCATGTCTATAGGCGACGGTTACCACTTTCCATCAGGTGGGCCGTCAGCTTGTTTGCCATTCAAAGTTGTATAAAAAAAAATTTAATCAGACAACATAAAGCCCATTTTGTTAGTTATAAATTTATTTAACCTATGTTAGTAAATGAGCGGTCATGACGCTCTTGCATTGATAACCTGTCCCATCCAATATTTTAAGATGGGACAGTCCATTTTACCAGCAACCACCTGCACCACCAACCTATAAACCTACCAGCACCTTTAGTATCAACTGTTCCTACGCCCAAACTGCAAATAAAATATTTAAACTTCTATTTTTAAAATTATTAAGTTTAAAAAATAAAATTTCAGATCTTAAAAACAAAAAGACGGTGATTTACCTGGTCGGTTTCCTGGACGCCTCGGCCTTCCTCCATACTGTAGCGGTGGCGTCATCTTACGCAAAACGTGGTTACAACGTCTTCGTTTCAGAAACGATCGCCTTCCTGTCACATGTCTATCCAAAGTAAGTAAAATAATGTTGATATTTTTATAGATAGATAGATGAATAGATAGATAGATAGATAGATAGACAGATACTCTTTATTGTTTCCTCATCATAATTTCAGCCGTTAACTGTCCACTGCTAAACATAGGCCTCCCCCATAAGGGACGTTTTGCTAATATTTGATACGCTTGTCAAGCGGATTGGCAACCGTTGTTAAGCTTTTGATATTGGTGTAAGAGGGGCGCTGCTGCCCAGCGCTTGATCATTTTTTCTTTTAATGGGTATAAATGGCATGATATCCCCGCCTGCACTATCGGTATACACCGGCGGGTCACCAGTGAGGGATGACAGGTGAGGATAAAAAGGTAGATCAGTTAGTCCATCGTAACAAATTCAAGCAAATTTGTATTGATATCTAGTGTTAAGATTATTTAGATCGCTATTTTTAAGAAACAGTTGAAGATTCCTGCGTATATACAAAATGTATGCGTATATGTATTACTAGCGGCCCGTGGGGGGAAAGGGATTGTTAGTAATGGAGACTGAGAATCCCATTGCTAGCAATATACCCAAACAGGTCGACCTCCTCGCCGTTCTCCTTGGAAACTATCATGGTTAATTCCTGATGAATTCATCATGATGGGCTAACTGGCCTGTTTTCATTCTCATCTATCACCATTCACTGGTGCTCCGCCAGCGTATCCCGTTAGCGCAGGTTTTACTGATTGCATTTATGGCATCAGTATCGATCACTAATCACCCCCTTATCAGTTTCGGAATATATTCCATGTACAGAATTGACCTCTCTACAGATTTATTATAAGTATAGATAAATGTTAGTACATAATAATTTGTCTACATTTTCGAACACGTGTTTCATGTTAAAGATACGTTTCAATTACAACAATTATCAGACCTTCGTCCGTAACGAGACTAATGTAGAGCGTTGACTTCGTGAATCGGAAATAGAAATGTCTGAGGTCGATCGCGTTGCGTGACCATAGCTAGATTCCGTTTAGTTGCCATTGCCACAGTTTTTTTTATGCCACTTAAAATGGCAAACAAGCTGACGGCCCACCTGATGGTAAGTGGTAACCGTCGCCTATAGACATGAGCAGTACCGTGGACATAACAGAGTACAACTGTTTCGTCCATGATAACCCCCATGCGTTGCCATTCCTGAGGACTCAGGTGTTATTCCTCTGTACCCTGTAAATTCGCTATTATTATATCCCACCCTAATAAAACAATTATTATTTTGCTATTTTTTTTAATGGGTGGAAACGGAATGTTAATCCCGCCAGCGTATACCGGTAGCGCGGGCGGGTACCAGTGACAAATGATACGTGATAATAAAAACAGGATTTTTTACGGTTGATAACGGTAACCCTGCCTATGGGGGGATAAAGGGATTGTTAGTGATGAGATTTAACAGCCCCATTGCTAGCAATACACCCCATCAGGTCGACCTCCACGCGGTTCCCCCTGGAAACCATAGTGGTTAATTGTTGGTCAATTGGTTACTGTGGGCCAACTGACCTGCCTTCATCCTCATTTGTCACCCTTCACTGGTGCCCCGCCTGTGTGTGCCGATGGCGCAGACAGAGTTACCATTCCATCTTCATCCATTAAAAAAAAGCCCTGCCTATGTTACGGGTATACGCCAGCGGAGTACCAGTAATAGAGATGATAGCAGGTCAGTTGGCCCAGCATGACGAATTCGACAAGAATTAACCAGGATAGTTTGGGGGGAAAGGAATTTATAAGTTTTTTTTTTGTAGCTGACAAAATAAACCTTTTAAATGACACCAATTGCTTGGTCCTCGAGCTACGATATCCAGTTGTTATAAAGAACCAGGCGAAGTACATCTAGAACAATCCAGAACACTCAGACCCGAGTCAACAAACTGATTGTAAACGTGTCGTACCAAATGTACCTACAACATATAAACATGTATAACAATATTCCATTGTGCACTACTTTGCACGAGATGCACCTACGAGTATAAAAGATAATTTTATTCTCCGACATTCATAAGGAAATTTATTTTATGTGCTTGTTAATAGCACACAATAATATTGTCTTTACGTATATTACTGGCAACACCAAAAACAGAGTAAAAAAAGCAATTAACCACATTATATTTAAAAAAAAAAATGAAATTCTTTTTTTAAACTTGTTTTATTTTTTTATTGTGCACTAAGTTAGAAACGCTGTGAACAGGTCTGCGTCACATTGAATATAAAAACTTTTGCGTAAAGCATATATATATTTTTTTTTCAATTCGAACTGGTAAAACTGGTTGCATAGTTCATTAAAAAAAAAAGTACCAAATGCATTATTTATTTTTCGAACTAATCTACTGCTGTTGACTACTGATGACGTATAATTTTAGTTTTTATTATAGAAATAACAATACATGTATTTTGTGATTTACATGTGTACAAGCGAAGGTTACCACTTTCCATCAATAGACTGTCGGCTTGTTGGCCAGTCTTCATTGCATACAGAATGTTATGCCGATTTTACTCTTTATTGGCATTTCAACCGACTTCATTATATGTATTAAAATAATAAAATAAATATGAATAACCCTTAAATTATGAAATTCTAAACACACTTTTTATTTATCATGTATAATTTTTAAACTTGATGGTATAATAGCTTGAGATGCCGCCTCACATTCCAATGGTCGTGAGTTCGATCCCCGCACAATACAAACAGCGATCTCAATAATCTTAACCTTAAATGCAAATACAAACTAGGTTTTCAGAAGTATTGTTTAGAAAAATTTTATAGGCTTTTTATGGCAATACACATTAAATGTTACAATAAGATATCTATTTTTTAATAAATTTCAACTGTTTTTAAAAGAAGACACTTATTGAACAAAGCCATAAATAAGCTTATTAAGTCGATCACGCACGAGCTTTTTAATGTCCATGTAATTTTAGACATAGTAAATTTTTTTCTTTTATACCATTGAGGTGGCAAACAAACATACGACCCACCTGATGGTAAGTGGTTACTGTACATTTAAATAAATATATGTATACTTATAATATATTAGCAGAAATTAAAAATAGTAACTCTTTAAATTCTTACAGGCCCTTCTCAGGTAATACCTTTCCGAACCCTGCAGTAAATTAAAAAAATGACGGTTTAAAAGTGCATGTAAATAAGTAATGTAAACTATTTCAATAAAGATGACTTTCATTTATATAAATGAATACAATACCAAATATCTTGTATTAATAGTATTAGCTTTGCTCAGTTTGAAATTAAATGGACCTATGTAACATGCCCAATGGTATTTATTTATTTTATTACATTTCTTTCCAGATCAGTCCGCTTGGCCAGACCGATAGGAAATAAAATAGGTGAATTTCTCGTCAATCTAACCGCAATGGGAATGAAGCCGGAAAATCTAGAACTCGTCGGTTTGAGTCTGGGATGTCATGTGGCTAGCTTTGCCTCTAAATACTACTACGCTGCTACCGGCAAAAAGCCGTCGAGAATTACCGCCTTGGGTAAGTAAAAATTGGAATAGATTCTAAAACGCCAATGCTATAAAGCTATCTCTTAATCATTAGATTTTTAATTAAATTATGAATTTAAATTCTAACAAAACGAATATTATGGTTTTCTGGTAGAAAACTTTATTGGCGTATCTAAGATTAGGTTCGAAGGTGGCTTGAACGCTTAAAAACTATTTTTTTATTCACAAGCTATTTCTGGGGTGGGCACAAGCCAATTCTATGATGGGTACGCCTCCTCCTGCTTATGAGAACACTTCCTTATAAGGGATACTAACGATTTCCATTTCTCCTCGTGCTTCGATCCTCGCAAACGATAATCATAATGATCCATCTTTTATCGCAACGCACGTGCGATCCGTCGTTTCGTTTTAACGACGAATCGCATGTTGCGATAATCGCTCCATCGCATCGTTGCGATAATGGATCGGTGTACGCGGGCCCTAAAACGGATTCCAGAGGTGCTTAACTTCTATTGTTTTTTTTTTAAAGAAGCAAAGTATGCATATACCAGACAGCCTTAACTACAAATAATATTTTGTATAGTATTAGAGTTTAAAATATAAATATTACAGTAATCAGGCATGAGTTTTGAAAATGCATGAAGCTGTACGAATACATTAGTATACACACTATTCTAAGTGTCATAAAAAAAATAAGTATAGAAACCTTTAAGACTTCGTTCTTTGACTACTTCGCAACATAATTTTTAATGGGTGACAATTGAATGGTAATCCCGTCTGCGCTAGTGGTGTATGCTGGCGGAGCACCAGTGACAAATGATAGGTGAGGATGGAAGCAGGTCTATTGGCTCGTTACGAATTCTTTAACGGAACCCGTGAATGCCAACCTGTTATATTTTGGTTTGTTTGATTGATACTTGTTGCTGGTTTCATCACCGTACAACCTGCCACAAACTAAATGGCGGTCTGGATAAATGGCGGTCCTCCACTGTACGTTTTTCAAGGCACTTTGGAACCACACTTTTTGAAATCAACTTCCAGCACCAGCATTTTTAAAACGATATGACATCATAACCTTCAAGAAACGAGCATTTTCCTTTAAAAAGACCGGCACCACATTTGCAATATTGTTGCGGGTGATCATGGGCGGCGGTAGTCACTTACCATCAGGTGAGACGCATGATCGTTTGCCCCCTGTCTTATAAAAAAAAAAACTAGCAAGGGCTATTAGACCCCATTATTAACAATCCTTTTTCTCCTTTAAATAAATTGTTACTAATAAACCTTTCCTTGTCTATCGCTAGATCCAGCAGGACCGTGCTTCAGGACAGCTACACCAAATAACAGACTGGACGCATCGGACGCTGAAAGAGTCGACGTACTGCACACTAACATTGACGGTTTTGGAATAGCCGAGAGATTAGGGCATATAGACATTTATATTAACGGCGGTGAATTCCAACCGGGGGATATACCAGCGGTGCCTTGTTTAGTTCTATGCAGTCATGTCAAATCAACCCTGTATTGGTGGCAGGCTTTGGAGAATCCGAAGAAATTCATCGCTGTCAAATGCGACAACGTGCAAGATGCTAGATCAGCCAATTGTTATAAAAATAGCGATATTATATACGTAGGTTTGAATACTGACTTTGACAAACCAGGCGTATATTATTTGTCCACGACAGCCGAATATCCGTATTACAGAGGAAAAGACGGATTGACTGGTGAAAACGAGGTGTTCACGAACATATTGAGAAAAATGAATTCCGATGATAATTTTGATGTATAAAGTCGTGTTGGAAAACAAGATTTTTGTTTTTAAATATTCGTTTCGGCTTTTCTAATGTTTTCAACTGCTTTAAAAAAAAAGGTGATGCTCAAGTGCCACGAGCGTCATGGCGCTCGTGAAATCAGTCGCTGTTTAGCTTGCTGTAAAAAAAATATTAAAATTGGATAATTTCTGGAGGAGATACAGTTATTTTTAGAGACAAGGGTAAATGACATCAACACGACAAAGATTTCTTTGGCATTTTTAAGTAGATATGAGGAAAAATCAATGGCACTAAAAGGGTTAAACTTGTTACCTCATAAGTATGTTAGTTCTAAAGCAATTTGGAAAATCCTTTTTTTTTTATCTAAAAAAAAATGTTTACAGATTGGTCCCGTAGAAATTATATCAAAATTCATTCAGTACTTTCGTTTTTGAATCAAAATAACTGATTTTGTCACAATTAAAGTCGGATTTTTTAAATATTTTATTATAAATACTGTGTCGCTCAGTGCTGCTCGCGACACGGCCGTGAACTGCGCTCATAAATAAGGGCTCCTAGGGCTAGTTTTAACAATTCATAGTTTTGCTCGTAACGTATGGAAAATTTGTTTTTTTATTACATATTATTGTTATTGAGGACATTTTTAGGTAGGAAAATCTGTGACACTGCGACCTTTCCATGATCTATAGTGCTCGCCCTTTTTTTAAAGTTCGCTGCTAATTCCTATCAATGATAGGAATTTTAAGGCGTTTTTTGTAGCGATATTTTTATCTCCTCAGTGTATATAATGTATTTTCCAAAGGAGATATATCTTTTATATATGAATGATCTATAGCCACAAATAAAATGCCGCGACGTTTCTTAACTTGTTACTCATATTAAAATAATAACATTTTAACTAAACAATGTAAGTACAAGGGAGATATTTAAGAAAAATTATTATATAAAGTCCAAAATAGTATTTTCTAGAAATTTTATCTGTTGGCTTGTCTATCTGTATATTTATTCCGAGATCACGCAAAAAAACCACCAAATTAGAAGTGATTTTTCGCTGGTAAAATATATATATATAAAAATATTCTGTCAAGTATATAAATAATATTATACAGTCAGTATTTTTTATATAAATATAGGTACCAGTTTATATATAGTTATGATATAAATATATAATAGAATATCAATATGTTTCTATATACATAAATCTTTAGGTATATACCTTTTCGCCAACCTACGCAACATAATTTTATTAATATTAAATGTAAAAATAATTTTATTATACATACCTAGAGATTAGTATAATTAACATATATAAATATTTAAATAAAGTTGACTATTAGTTAATATTCTATACTTTTAAACAGATTGCCTTATTTAAAAGTTAATAAGCTGTTAAATCAAAGATATAACTTAAGTGATCTATCTATCTATCTATTCTATTTAAGAGCTGCGCTCTTGTCGGTGGAGCGCTTGCCACTCACTACGATTGTCAGCGAGTCTCTTCACCTCTTGATACGACACGACACCAACTCCTTCCTTGATCCGCCTGATGTAACTATGTCTCGGTCTCCCTCTCCCCCTTCTTCCTTTTATCTTACCTTCTATTATAATGTTCATAAGTTCGTCGTGTCGTCAAGTGTCCCAACAATTTTCCCCTTAAGTGATACGATAGACAAAATCATGTGATAAAAGTATATATATATTATAATGTGAATGAATGAATGAATGAATGAATGAAAAACTCTTTATTGTTCCTGTTGATACAGATTACGTAATACTGTTTGTTTTTTTATACAACTTAGAATGGCAAACAAGCTGACGGCCCACCTGATGGAAAGTGGTAACCGTCGCCTACAGACATGAGCAGTACCATGGACATAACAGAGTATACTGTTTCGCCCATGATACCCCCCATGTGTTGCCATTTTGAGAACTTAGGTGTTATTCCTCTGTACCCTGTAAATTCACGCCATATCCCACCCTTCAAACCGAAACACAGCCATGCAAACACAACTGCTTCACGGTAAAAACATGAATGGGACAGAGGTACCCAAGCAATCGACTTTTGTACAAAGTCTCCCTCTGGCGTTATGGCGTTTAACTGCCTTTGATTTTATAGGCCTCAATTAACGCTTTGCATTCCAACCTAGTAACTCATAGAGGATACCAATAACTCCAGCGCTATATTAGTTACAAGTACATACCTGAGATATAAAAGAAAAATGGAGTCTTTGTAATAAAACAAAACATTTATTTCTTAGTTATTTTATAAAGGTCGCTGAGTCAGCAAAACAACCGTGTCGCCGTGGACGAGACAGTGGATTTAATGTTAGCATTTTAATGTCGCAAATACGGCGAGAATGGTTAAAATTGCAAATTGTATATACATATAATAGAAAAGTTATAAGACAAAAAAAGAGAGTTAAAGATAAACGCAATATAATAAATACTTACATATTATATATATATATATATATATATATATATATATATATATATATATATATATATATATATATATATATATATATATATATATATATATATTATTTGCATGTTTGTAACGTTCCCCTGTAAAATGTGCATCTTTTTTTTTTAAGTTTCAGTTCGATATATATATATATATATATATATATATATATATATATATATATATATATATATATATATATATATATATATATATATATATATAGTATAAAATCTTTATTGTGCATACTTTACACTTGAAAAGATGTGAACGCGTTGAAAAGATGTAATATTTTATTTTATAGTATTTTTTATTGGTAGCTTAAAATTCGGCAGTGATTTTGTGTTGTGATATTTGAATGTCTTTATGATTAAAAATATGTGATATATAATTAATTTAATTAAATGTATTATAGTAATGTTATTTTTTAAGGGTGATAATGGAATGGTAACCCTTCCCCCACGCTTACGATAATGGTATACGCTGGGGGGCGCCACCAATGAGGGATGACAGGTGAGAATGAAAAGGCAGGCCAGCCCATCACGAGGGGAAAGGGATTATTAGGAAAGCAATATCGACCTCCACGTGGTCCCCCTGGAAACCATCGTGCTGAAATCGAGGTGTATTCAACACGATGGGCTGGGGGAAGGGATTATTAGTAATGGGCAGGGTAATCCCCATTGCAATATACCCTATTAGGTCGACCTCCGCGCGGTTCCCTCTGGAAACAATCGTGACTTGAATTCGTCACGATGGGCTAACTGACCTGCCTTTTTATCCTTATCTATCATCCCTCACTGGTGCCCCGCCAGCGTATCCCATTAGCGCAGACGGGGTTACCATGCCATTTTCACCCATTAAAAAACACAATGGGCTAATTGACCTGCCCTTTCATGTCATGTATCATCCCACAGTGATGTTCCAACGCCGTAGGCGAGGTTACCATTCCATTACCATCCATTAAAAAAAGTCCATTGCGATTTTATTTTTGATGGGTGAAAATGGTATGGTAACCCCGTCTGCGCTAACAGGATACGCTGGCGGAGCACCAGTAAAGGGTGATAAATGAGAATGAAAACAGGCCAGTTAGCCCATCATGATGAATTCATCAGGAATTAACCATGATAGTTTCCAGGGAGAACCGCGAGGAGGTCGACCTGGTTGGGTATATTGCTAGCAATGGGATTCTCAGTCTCCATTACTAACAATCCCTTCCCCCTTTCCATCGCGATTAATACAGATAAAATTCAGTACGATGGTTTCCAGGGGGGACCACGTGGATATCGACCTAACAGGGTATATTGCTAGCAATGGAATTAGTGGTCCTCATTATTAACAATCCCTCCCCCCCCCCACCCCTCCCCCGCTCCTTATAGTATATAAGATCACTTATTATTTAGAAGTGTGTGATACATAATTTTTATGAATAAACTTTTAATACTGTTCCTTTTTCTTGATATATTTATTTTGTTTTTAATATATTTTTTTTTATTCCGTAAATAACATAATTATTATACTTTCTGGTATTTCGTCGTCTTAGTCTTTATTAAAATAGTTTTTTTTCTTTTTTTTTTAAATTAATTAGTCTTTATTAAATTTAATTAAACAGCTCGTGTGTTTTGAGTTTCATTCTAATATTTATTGTGTTTTTGTATTTTGGAAACATAGAATTTGTTGTTAAATAAAAAATATGAAAATTATAAACTATAATAAATGTGTTTCTTTATTTTATTATATTACCTGTTATTTTTAATACCTGCTTCTGTTACGGATCCATTTCTACGTCGAGTCGAATCGAACAATTGGACCTTCTGAAAATGGCATAATATAAATTCAGCGCTAGCCATTGTCCCTTTCATATATCATAGGGTCTGATTGTCCCTTTTAGCTCGGTTCATTACATTTCGCATACCTCACTATTCAAAGAAACACATGAAGTTTAAACGCTTCCTTTTAAGTTATAATTAAATTACCCAAAAACTGAACAAAACGTGCTCAAGTTAGAACATATAATGACTTGTTAATTAAAAGTGAATGATGCGTAAATTTAATTACGTAAATTTTAAGGAAATTATTACATTGTACATACATACATACATATGTATTTTTTTATACAACTTAGAATGGCAAACAAGCTGACGGCCCACCTGATGGAAAGTGGTAACCGTCGCCTATAGACATGAACAGTACCATGGACATAACAGAGTGTACTGTTTCTGCCCAAAAAAATACTGTTGTGTTAAAAAAATTGTCAAATCTGATTCTACCACACTGTAGACGTGCAAATATTAAAACATGATGTACACATATATATAGATATAATATTTTGCCACTTTTTGTATATTAAGGCAATTAAGTAGCAGGTATGTAGGTACTATACCTGTAAAAGTTTTTACATCGTCTTAAGTCCCGATTGTGTATTTAAAATATGTGTAAACAACACGAAAGTTTAAAATTAACTATTGTAATATTTATTTATAATATAAAATAAAATGGCAGTGTGGTCCTGGCATAGAACAGGCCACCCCTTCCTTTCCCGTGGGTGTCGTAAGAGGCAACAAAAAGAAG